GGGGGAGCTTTTTGCTATTAAGAAGATAATATTCTATACAGATGCCCACCAGAAAAACCTAATGCTTTTAGTCTTCCCTTTGAACACAGGTCTCTGAGTGCTTCTTATTATCACTTAGCTCTGAAAGTCATCATCTTACTGAGCAGGTTCCCAGTAGTCGGAACTGATCCTGCATATGCAATGGCTCTTACAGGTAAAGCAGGCCAGAAACCTCACCTGAAATTCACTCCCAGCATAGTCTTGCGTTTTCATCTAAGTCTTTTGATCAATCAATAAACAATTTTGATTTCTTTCTGAAATACCTTTTTGCAGCAGCAGGGTAAAATATTCATGTTCATAGTACTGCTTTGTTATAATAGCAGAACCAAGCTTTTCAGCCAGCCCCTTACTGGCTGTTCTGTAGGCCAAGCTGGGCTGCTCTGCTGCAAAGAACAGGGAAGTGGTTAGCACAGCGGGTTGCCAGTCGACCCGCCAACTACTTCCACTGATCTTGGGGATGATTTCCACCTGACCGCTTGTCATATTTCCTGTCAATATCACAAATGTCCATTTATGAAATGCTACAGGGTGGCTAATCTAATTAACTCTCTGTTCATCGCTCAGCACTTCCTCACAGTTTTTTGACAATTTAAGCAAAGCTGAACTTGGCTGTTCCAATGTGAAAGAAGAGGGGTGAGACAGGGCCTGCTGCTTCGACCAGAGAAAAAAGAGGAGCAGAAACTAGGTTGGAAACCAGGAAAGGTGTTGTAGCTTGCTGCTTTTGCTTCTCTCAGTGAGTGGCCCCCTCAACTGACGCTATCTTCCTGCACACTGCAAACTTTTCGCTGGCATGAAGAGCAGGCCTGATTTGCCAAGGCTTAGATGCAAGTGGTAAGACCGTCGTCATTTACTGCTCCCAGCAGCAGCATTTAGACATTTTCTCTATGCCTAACACTGGAGAAGATGCCGAGTTTGAGAGAGCAGTACTGAATGACTGATTCTTCAAGATAGTGTAATCAGCACGAGGTGTGAGCTACCTTGCTTTTTCTTCTTCCTAGGCAAACCAGGAGACTCAAAGATGCAAGTGAAAAGTGGAGGCATTTCAATCATTTATTCCATGAAATGAAATTGCTAAAAAGTGTAGCCCTTACAGACAGTGCTATTGAAAAATTTTCACTTCCACAAGTATCTGCACCACTGTTAGCAGTAGTATAAAAGAATTTTAATTACTGTAAGGTGATATTTTTTTCTGGTGAGCTAAATGCTCCAGAAGTCAGAATTTCTAGCTGTATTAGCGCTAGAAAAAGCAAAAGCTAAAGCGCTTTGCCACATGGTATCTATGGGGTAGGTACAATGTTGGTAATGAACGCTCCAGTAGATTTCTGAGCGTCTGATAATGCATCCTGAAGCTCATATATGTCACTTAAGAAGTATGGGAGCTAAGGCCCAGATAGGAAAGCAACTTGTTCAAGATCATAGTGGTAAGACCATAAAATCAGTTCAGATCCCTTATGCTCCTACTTCTCTGTCTGAAATATTTCCTCCCTGGTACTAATTTCTCATATAGTGCAGTTTTTAAATTGGACGCTAGCTTCCTAGAATAAAAAATTAATATTTGTGAGAGCTTATTTATGATTTACAAAGCTCTTTGTTATTTTCTATTTGCCATTGTTCTCATGCAGTTGTATTGGCTCTGAGGAAACACAAATACCTGACATTGTGACGCAAATCCTCTTGCAGTACTTGGAGGTTGATGTGAATGTTGTGGCTGTTGATACAGTGAGAGGAGAGTCGCTCTGCAATGGCAAGAGAAACTCCAGATCCTTAGTGAACAAACTGAGTTTCTTTCTCCTTCATCTTTGCATCTCCCATCTCTTTCCATAGTTAGAAATATGCAGTAAGTGGAAAACAGCCTGAGATAAACTTATAACTGAAAATGAAAGGGCTAGGCCTTTTCATTCTAGCAGCCATTAAGAAAAGATTTTTTTTTTCATTGTGGACCGTAAATCTGTACATGTTCAGACCGTAAATAATAACCACATAAATGCTAATTTTTTTCCTCTGTTGCAATTAATCAGTTTTCTTAGTTTTTACTTTACCCCAATCTGTCTTTTTTTTTATTATTATTACTTTCTTTAGTCATTTAATGATAGAATTCAACTAAAATTTACTTCTAACTTTTCCTTCCTATTTTATTGTAATTAATTGTTGTAAAATTGTATGAAAACCCCAAATGAGAAATGTCATTCTCTAATGTTTAAACAAGTTTGATACGTCCCTCAAAGCATTTATGCTCTTTAAAACACTGGAACTACAAAACACATTTGAGCTAATTGGAAAGAGGATGTAATTACAGTTAAACTAATTTTTCCTGTAATCCCATTCAAACACCAAACTTTTTTTTTATTATTACCTTCTTTGCTTCAGTACTGGTAAAGACAATATAACAGACTGATTCCATTGTGTACTTTTGACTGCTGGGCTGTTCTCTGCGGCACGGAAGTGTTACGTTTCAGTGACGGACCCATGTAGAACTGGCACCACTGTCAGTGTCATTGCAAAGTAACATTTGTGATCTTTTTTTTTTTTTTTACTTTTTTTTTCTCTCTCAAATTGACACATGCCTAGGATACATCTGCTCAAGAAATTTTAATAAATAGAGGGCAGCATCAGCTGTCAAAAGAATAGTTCCTGAGAAGGAGAACATTCCGTTACAGACAAGGATCATGTGTTTCTACCACTGCAATGAAAATTTGCTCTAAGGTCTTTGCTTTCTTTGCTATGTGGACTGATGTGATAATGATTATATCTGCATGTTACTTTTCAAGCAGACATACACTCACTTTGTCTGGGCCCCAGCTTGATAAAAAGCTTTGCAAATGGAATTAGTGCTGTCCTGAGCTAGTACGTTCTGCCTTACAGGTGTGTATATATATTCTTGTGAGATCAAGTTAAGCTTAGTATGTGAGCAGAGCAACCCGTTTGCCTGTAGAGCTTTTGAGCCTAGTTTTTACTGCTGCTTGTGTTGGTACAGAGGCACTCTTTAGTGGCAGACGCTGCCGTGCATGTAGTAATATACATACCACCGATAAGGCCATAGATGGTCATTTGTGTTATGCTGTTGGCTGGCACATGGCCACGTGACTTGGCAATGAAAACAGAAAAGTCCCAAGACAAGACAGTCTGACTTTCAGTACATGTTGAGAAAACATAAGAATGTTGGAGTCAACTAAATGTCTTCTATAGTTAACGTAACATTCGCAGTGCTACGTTTCGCTGTTTTTTTTTTTTTTAGCCTTAGCTTCTCTGTAATAAACAGAAAAATAAGGGAGGAAAAGGGGGAGATTGAATGGGAGTGGAAGTGTTATTTCTAAATGATTTTAGAGATATTGACAAATAGGTCTGCAAATAGTCTGACTAAAGATATCAAGTGAGCTGGAGGTGGTAGCACAGGAGTGCTCACAGTGAGTGAATTGAAGTATTTCTGTCATCAGCCAAGATATTCAAATGATTATGGGAACTGAAAGAAAAGAAACTGTATGCCGCACAAGTTGCGTTAGGCCATTAAAGGAAACTTTTACATAGTTTACATAGTTTAACATAGTTTTACATAGGTTAATAAAAATTGAAGAATAAGCTGCAGCCCCTGTTTTACAGAGCAGAAAGCTGAATTGACAGGCATTTAGATTCTACTGACAACATCAAAAAATAAATTCTAAAATGTGTGAGTAGACTGCAACCTTTTTGGTTTTCTTGTTGCTTATTTACTTAAAAGAGAGAAAAATGTAATCACTCTTTACTGAAATGTATACCGTTGGTGAGATGACTGTTATGCTAGAATGAATCATCTTTGTGACAAAAAAGACAAAAAGCAACTGTTAATAAGTAAATACTTGATTTTTCGGTTTACTGGACCTAAACTATCATGCTCCCCTTTTTAATCTAAACAATCTCTTTGGCCTGAGATCATAAGCAGGATTATTGTCTGAAAACATTTTCTGGGAAATGTGAATGGTTCGAGTATCAAAATTAATCTTAGAATGGGAAATATGTTGATAATTACAATTTCTAATTTTGTTGTTACCAACAAAAATGTATTGTTGTACCAGAATCATACATTCATATGCCATGCATTAAGTAGACAGCTTCTAAAAGTTCTGCTTAAATGACCTAAATTATTTAATAAACAATGACACACTTGTATTTGTTAAAGAATTTATATATGAAATATACCAAAAAGGTTTATGTGCATATGCTGAAACTTCATAGACATCTGGAGTATTGAGATAAAGTTATGATTTTACAGCTGGAACACCACAATTTTTAAGCAATTCAGTCTGATGAATTCTAAGAGGAGAGTTAAGTTTCTCCATTTTCATAGGGACCTTAGTTACATTGCGCTACTACTACTACAGCAGAACAGCAGTTAAAATAGACTGCTAAATTCTCATTAATGTTCCTGTCACTTTATAGCGTATTTTTACTTGAAGGAGCAATTAGTAGGAAGACCACAATGCCATTCAAACAACTGTACAGTGAACAAAAAAGTCAGTGCGTGCTCTGGTTTGCCTCACTGCTGAACATTTAGCTTTTTTATTGACTTAATTAGCTCTTTTGAGTGCTTCTGTGTATTAGTTTTTTAGTCACAAAGTCACAGAATGGCCAAGGTTGGAAGGGACCTCTGGAGATTATCAAGTCCAACCCCTCCTAGTCTTTATTGTTCTGTTCCTGTTCTGTTCTGAAATGTCTTCAAACTTCTTTATAATGTATCTTTTTTAAAAAATATAAAGTTCTTTTGACTTCTGTTTTGCATATACTTTTCCCCCCTTCCTGAGGTCAAAGAAGGCTTTTGTAGCGAAGTTTTAGGTCTGAAGAAATAAGGCTATTCAAGATGTGCAAATACTTTGAACTTTCCCTGGCTTCTGACTTTCCTAAACCGTAGCTCAGCGTTTGGAATTTTTACCTCCTTCGCAACCAGCACCACATGTCTGATCGTCTTTTTGTTTCTTTCCTTTGTACAGGGACCCTCTAAAAATACAGCAACTGCAGAACCAAATTCGTCTGGAGCAAGAAAGTGGCCAGCGGTATCATCACCAACAGCAAGCTGATCACCACCTGCACCCTCCCTCTTCTCCTTCCTTTCCTCCTCCCCCCTCCTTCCAGGAGCTTGAATCCAGCCAGTCTGTCACTTCTGTGCCAATGAGTATTCTCAACTCTCATACTTCTCCCACCATGCAGTCTTCCAGCTCCTTCAACTATGCTCGGCCTAAGCAGTTCATTGCTGCTCAGAACATCAGCCCTGCTTCAGGTTATGTGACTCCTTCTTCAGGATCATCTACATCCAGCCTTCCCTCTCCTATGTCTCCAACTGCTTCTCAGAAACAGTTTGGGAGAGCTCCTGTCCCTCCTTTCTCCCAGCAGTTTGCTCCAGAAGGGGAGTACCCATGGTCTCCTTCCTCTCCATCCCCTCCCCCACCACCTCCACCTGTCTTCAGTCCAACCACAACATACCCTGTGTGTGATTCCTTTCCACTTCCACCTCCTCCACCCCCTCCCCTTCCTTCAGTTTCTTCCCCTTCCCACAGCCTGTCTCCAACTCCTAGATTTTCTAATTCCGGCCAATCTCCAGCAGCTTTTCTCAGCTCCATGCTGCCATCCCAGCCACAACCCGTTTCTGTCAATGCACTAGGGCTCCCGAAAGGAGTGACACCTCCGTAAGTATCAGTTAATGAGCTCCTTGAGTTTGACTGTTGTGAAGATGTGTTGAAGATTATTGCACTTGCTTCATTTCATACTTTTCTAGGGTCCTTTACTGTTATCTGTTACCTGACAGCCAGAGATGCACAGATTAGTTGCAATGTGTCTGTGCTAGAAACTGAATATATAGTTTGTTTTAATCCTCACAGAAGTGAGATTCTAGAAGACTCCTACAGTGGGAATGGGAGAGGCAAGAATCTCACATTTGTAATTGCAGGTGATGAATTTATGAAAGTGACAGCAAGAGGTTCTCATGCCCAGGGCAGTGGAAGGAGCGGCAAGAAAACCCTTCTCATGGGCCAGTCACCTTAAAGTCGCGCATAAGGTGTGACTCTGTTCCCATTATTTCTGCACATAGAGAAAGATCAAGGAAAGAGAAGATTGTTCAGAAGTCTCTATGGCTTTGTATATACACCTTAAAGTATAATGTACTAAAGTATACCTCTGACAACAAAGTGATCATAATGGTGTATTGACTTTTGCCTAGAGCTTTTTTTCTGAGGAAGTTTGGAAGGACAGTGTTTAAGCAGAGGATTCAGAAGAACAATGCATAAAAACAAACAGAACTCCTCCCCCTAACAACTCCACATATTTGTTCTTCCCTTTTGTCTTCCCTCAAGGCCAAAGTATTATTTTGGAGCATGTCAGCTCCCATCATAGATCAGCTTGTCTTTCCACTGGCACTAGATTCTCATTCCATCCCAAAGAGAACAAAGAGAAATGCTTAAAAACAAAAATGAGAATAGCTGTATCCAAAGCTTATTTATAACTTTGTCTAGAAGTTTTTCTAAACATATCTACAGTATCTAGGTGACTTGCTCAGCTACATACTGTTGCAGTGGGAACTTCTGTTAATTCATTCCAAGATTCGCAAGGGAAGAGAAGGAAGAAAGCAGATAGATATCAAAGTCGTAAATCATGTATAGTCTTTAAAAAGCGTTTATATATCTGGACTTCTGTCATGTGGCTATTATGAAAACTGGCCATAAAACAGAATTAAGAGAAAAATGAACAGTACCATTCACTCTTGTACTCATTCTAACCGTGATTTTCTGTCTTACTGTGTTCTTTGCGCTGGCTGAGTTTCTTTATTGATTCTGACTGCTGAAAGTTGTATGATAAATTTACTGGCAGCTTGGCAGGTAAATACAGCCCACAAAAGCCTGAAAGTATCCCTTGTTTGTCCAAAGAGGCTCTAAAACAGCTATATAGTTCTGTGTGCATGTTCAGTTGTGCTGCATAGGGTAATCTGTTCTAGGCAACTGTTGAGGACTGGATTCCCTTTTGACTTTTCCTTCTACGTGCCACGATAGTGGCCACAGCAGCTCAGGCCTCTCCTATACCCCACAGATGTTCAAAGCAGCGTCTTTCCCTGTGACACTGCATTCACACATGCCTGCTCTCTCTTGAGGCAGACAGCTCTATTCCTCCACCTCATTCCTGTCAGTCTTCAGACATGAACACAGCCTGAACTGTGCAAGGACGCTTCCCGTTTCCCCATGCCGCTCACTTCTTCTGCCCGTGCAGCCAGACTGGGTGCGCATATGGCAGTGTCCCTCCCTTACCCAGGACATGGCAGCAGCCTCAGGTTCTGAGCTGGGCAGGACAAGGTGCTTGGTTGTTTGACCTGCATCCCCTCAGGAAATGTAGTCCAGATGGGAGCTGGATCATGTTAACTATGCTGAGTATTTGTGTGTATAACTTATGTATGTATATGCATACACACAAGTGCGTATATGTATATACACACAAAATGTACATTAATCATCTTAGTTATACTAGTCAAATATTTAGAAGTACTGCATGATGGAAAAAAAACCTATCGTTAGTATCTTTGATGCATGTTTTTTCCCTGGCTGCTTTTCTTTCATTTTACTGTATTAAGTTATGATTGTCTGATGTCTTTTGACTTACTGAGTTAATAAGCTATTTTTTCCCTTTCCCATCGTTCTCCTGCTGCTCTCCTGAGAGTTTCTCTCCCCAGAGTTTCTCTCTGCTTTTGATCTCTTCTACTTTGTGCTACAGTCTTGGTTCTTCTAGCTTTTCTTCCCCTTTCATTTTTTTTTGCTTCATCTATTTCCTCATCTTCTGTTCCATTCTCACAAATCCTCTTTTCCTGAACGTATTTATCTTCTGAGATGTTGCAGTTTCTGAACCACTTGTCATAGGCAGTATCCTCAGCCTATAAGAATATCTCCTTGTTAGAAGTAAACTTAGCCTCTTTGGTGAAGTAGTTGTTCAATGCCACAAAGCAAATCTTTGAGAGAGGAAAGAGTCTCCCGGGATCAGACTAACACCACACATGTATGCCATCCCTTCCCCTAAATATTTCTGTCGCCTCTCCCTCTCTACATACTTGGGTACATTGCAATTTCTTGTAAGGTCTTAGGCCTTAGTAGAAGAATGAAACCTAGCTGGTTCTGAAGGCCTTGAAAAAGGAGACTTATATGATTTGGAGTCTAGTCTCACCATGTACTCCATGCATCTCCAAGGTCCATTGATTGAAAAGAATGATAACTTTTCCTGACAGTATTCTGTAGCAGACTGGGTGCAGGGAATCAAAGTTTTGCTTCAGCTTGTCACCTAAAACTTTAGTAAGCCATTTAACTTTTGTTTCTGCTTCTTGATCTGTCATATAATGGTAATATTGGGACTATGATTGTGTGTTGCTGACGATAGTGAGCTAGTCAGAGTTTGAAGTGTCCTTCATGGGCACAAAATACAACTTTGACTAGAGACTCCAAATACAGTGTCTGAAGTAGTGGGATTCCTCTTTAGAATATAATCTCATGATATATATAAAATACATATTTTTACTTAAGTGGAGGTAGACTTGGACCTGTGATTGGTTTTAAATACTTATATGCTTTCATACCCAGTGCCTTTATGGGTAGAATGCTCTCAAAATAGTTTTCCTGTCTGCTTTCGGTGCTTTCATGACTCCTTTCTCTTCCTTGTCTTGTCATTTTTTTGTTGTATTTCAGGGTTGGTAATTCACTGCTCAAGTTTTGATTATAGGGTCTTCTTGATTATATGGTTGTTTACTTTCTTCTCTCCCAGGTATGGGCACCATGCTATTGATAGCCAAATATCTAAAGGAAAAAATTGTTATTTAGCCTTATCAGAGTCTGTAATTACCCAAAAAACATTATTTGACTGAGTAAAAAGTCCCACAGACTATTTTTATAAATTATGCTTCTTGATATAGTGTGGAATTTATTAAATAATTGTTCGATATTTTTCATACATCTCATTTGTTTTTCATAACTAAATCTTTACAAAATTACACGTCTGCCCCTCAGTTACAGTTTCCTCAGAATCAGTAGTGGTAGGCAAGATTCTTGTTTTCTTTTGTTTGCTTTTCTGCTAGAAGCAAAATATAGATAAAACAATAAACACTCTATCTGGAGCTAATATATGTTTGGATACTGTTAAAGGCAACATCACGGAAGATTTCTGCAAAAGAGAAGATAAAATGGATCCTGTCTGGTGGTGTACAAGCCAATAGAGTCCTCCTTGCTTCTCATGGAATCAGCTCCCTCCATCAGCTTTCTTAATGCATTTCCTTTCCAGTATATGTATCATCTTTGCTCTGCTGCAAAGAGGAATAGCTGCAAGGAAATGTTGTGCCTGTTGTTATATACAAGCTCAGACAAAATAAGTATAACTCTCTTTTCCATCCCTGTAATCTGTCTGAGAGCTCTGGGAAAATGAGCAGTAAATACCATACTGATGTTTCAGCTAAGGACTGAAATTTTCCTTGGTTGTGCACCCTGAGACTCTGTGACAGTATTATCTAAACCAGTTTGGTCAAATGAATGAATATTTTTTCTAGTCAATAGATTTGGAGAAGGTGCTTTTTTTTTTTTTTTTTGGTATGTGCCAACAATCAGTCTTACAGCCTGGCCTGAAGCGTGGGAGCCCCTAGAGATGAATTTACTAGATCTTATTTGAACATCTGAAACATGAAGAGCAGCTTTGTGTAGTTAGTACCTAGTAATTCACCATTAAATACTTATTTGCAACAATTGTATGGAAAATGTTTCAGTTGAATAAAATGTATCTCATTTTCCAGTAAGCTCTAGTCACTTTGTAGTTACCAGCATTTTCAGGCTTTGGCTACAGCAATGGTAACTGAACAAGTTTTAGCAATAACTATCTTTTCTGATTGGGCAGATTTGAAAATTTGATGTTTTGCCAGAATGTAGTCTTATTAAATCGGAGGAGAAGTCCTGGTAGAACTCCACAGCTAATTAAATACCTTAAGAAATCATGAACACTCGTCACTTATTTTTGAGGTGAAATCTGGCTGGAATATTGCTGTTGAATACTGTTCTTAAGAGTCTCTATTCTTTCTTTCTTTACTTAAAGAAAGCTCTATGGGTGGGTACATGAACTGGGCTCAGGTTAGCTTTCAGCTACAAGACTTAAAAGGAACAGAGTCTGTGTGACATAAACTAGAACTGAGTCTTCCCCTCCCCCCCCCTTCTCCACCCTTAAATCTGTAGAAGCTAGGATCCAGTCTTTGCCATTCATCATAGAAAAATGAATTATTTATATCTCTATGAAAATAGATGAGTATACATTTTAAATTATAGGAAAAGACAAATTCTGGGTAAGCATATATACTGATACGTTTATATGAGAATAAGTGAAAGCAAAATTTAATCCCAGGAGAAGGATTAAGTGAATACTTAGTGAATAGTGACCTAAAAAGAACATAAATCCTGCTTCAGGAAGGAGTGGAGTTAGTCATTGAACCTGGAGAACTGTAATCTCTTTCGAAGTATAAAAAACATATATCGTCAGCTACACATATATCCTTTTGAAAGGACCTGAGGTATGTAATACTTTTTCTTTAAATAGATATCTTCAATAGCATTGCCTTAGTCACAAACAAGAAAAAATCTGACAGTAGAGAACTGATTGAAGTACATGATTCTAGATTTAGTACGTT